GGCTCCTCTTTGGACCCATCTGCCCAGAGGATTTGGGCATCGGGAACTGGGAGATGCTGCCCATGCTGAGGGCCCAGGGGAGCAAGTCAAGGACACAGAACATACTAGACCTCATCTCGGCCCCTCTGTCTCCTGGGCTTGGCATTCTTGTAAAAGACACCCTCTTCATTTGAATCGACTTGGTTTCCAACTTTAATAATTCATGTTGATTTGAGTCACAAGACAGCAGAGTTAATATTGGAACAGTCCAAGAAGAAGAGGGAAGTCGGGAGAAAGATTGGGAAAAATGCCCTTTAAAAAATAATTTATCAGACATCCAACACCCCCACTTCCAATCCCCTCACCCTGCTGCACTCTTTCTTCTCTATAGCGATTTCCTTGTTTAATCTGATTATTATTTTATTGATTGTCTCACTCCGTCCTAGAATGTAAGCTCTACTAAGGCAAGAGTAGTCTTGATTTTCATTTACTAATGAGTCCTAGATCAGGGCTGGGTGCATAATAGGTGCTCAGTAAATATTTGTGGCTCAAATTCCTAGTACCCATTTTCTCCTTACCCTGGATCCCCTAATTTTTATTTCCCATCTTCAAGCAGTTTGAAAGAGCAAGTGCAAAGCCGTCCTTATAGTTCTGACCTGTAACAGGAACCCTGGGGTTCCTGCACTTGGGAAAAGTGTGGATGTGTGTGAGTGTGGGTATAGCTTTAGTGTAGATGGCATTTTATTGTTTATAGAGCATGTGTATTTGAAGTTCATAATGACTCTGTGAGGGTGATATTTTTATTTTCCTCATTTATAGATGAAGTACCAGAAATTTCATTCAGTCATTCATTCATATTCACTTAAAAATTAAACCAAACAAATATTATTGAATACCTGCTCTGTAGTAAGTGCTGGTTATAAAGAACACGCCAGGCTCAGCTCTGGCCCCAAGGACAGTGTACAAAGTCACACAGTCAGCTGCAAACGGTATTCTACTTCCCAGCCCGGGGCTCCTCTTCCTATACCACAGCTCTGCACATGTGCATGGGCCCCTGTGATATCCACCTAAGCTGAGTCTCTGCACAGGAGGTTGGGTAAACGTGGAAGATGGATACAGAGTCCAACATTGGACTTTTTCTTCTCTATAGTGATTTCCTTGTTTAATCTGATTCAAATGAAGAGGGTGTCTTTTACAAGAATGCCAATGCCAATGCTCCCCAGTCTAAACTTTTCTCAGTTTAGCAAACTCAATTCCTTCCCCCATGTTTTCCCCTCATTTTCTAGTTCCCTCCCTCTGCCTCTCAGGGTAGCAAATGGATACAGCCTGGCAGTTAAGGTACCTAGCCACGCTCAGAATCCCAGGGCTGGATGGGACTCTGAGAGATCCATCTTCTAGCCTTAAGGTGCGATGCTGTCTAAACCATCATAATCAGTTACTTTCTAGGCCTCAGGCACCATAGGAATCTTGTTTCCAGTGGGGGATGGCCCATTTTCCTAAAATAGTTGGTGTAGCATGTTGGACTCCTGATTCTGGAAGTATAGCCTTTTTGGGAGCTGGACAGTTCTTAGACTTTTTTTTTTTTTTTTAATCATCATCTCTTATTTTACAGGTGAAGAAAGAGACCAGAGAGGTTGAATAATGGCACCAGAATCACATAGCTGGCCAAGAATAGGATCAAGATCATTGCCTCTAAATCAGAGTCTCTTTATGATACCAAGATTCCTGAGTTGTTCTGCATGCAGAATGAAGACTGTTTTTATATAGACTGAGTAAAGGCTTGGTCCCTGGCAGCTGGGTGTATCACAGAGGGAATGGAGCCTGACCATTGACCTGGACTGTGGCTCCCCAGTCTAAACTTTTCTCAGTTTAGCAAACTCAATTCCTTCCCCCATGTTTTCCCCTCATTTTCTAGTTCCCTCCCTCTGCCTCTCGGGGTGGCAAATGTTCAGCTCAAAGTTGCTCCTTGCCTGATTGCATCTGAGAGCTGGAAACACAATGCTAATTAATGTGTCTGTGACTCTAGGCTTGCCTGCCGGGCCCAGTCCCCATCCCTTCCCTGGAGCCCAGAGGCTCTGCGAACTGGTCCTCTGGCTTCTTCCAGCGCACTGCTGTGGGCAGATGCATATTTTAACAATGCACATCTGTTGGCCATATAATCTCTCGTATTTGCCCTCCTCACTTGGTGCTTTGATAGAAGACTCCTGGGGGCTTCTCTCTGTTCCAGCCAAAGTGTTTGCTTTGCAATTTTGCAGGAATACCATCTGATTCTGCTCTCACGTCTTCTGCAGGTTCTAATCAGGCTCTTACTTTATTTAATTAAAAATCTATCTCAGGCAAATACAGACTAAATTAGGAAGCTCTCTCATTCCTGGAACACAGGGAAGGTAGCCCCCCTCGGGGAATGGGCTGGGACATTTTCCCAGGCTAAGATGTCACAGCAAAGCAGATGGGGTCTTGGGTGGAAGGAAGGCAGCTGGGCCAGGGGGCACCAACACCTTTCTCCCTTCCGTGGGAGTGTCCACCCACCCTTCCCAGATCAGGGCTCCCTTGCCAGCAAACTGAGTCAGTTTCTGCTTGTGGGGCCTCCCTTCAGGGCAGCAGGTGAAGCCCTCCACCTGGAGAAACAGCCAGGCAGAGCCTGGTGGCTGGGGGACCTCTACGACCAGCTAGGGCAGGGAAGGGGGGACCTAGAGGAACAGCTGAGGGGTGGGGGCATGGGGAGACTCTAAGGAATAAGGAAGGACTCCAGGCAGAGCTCAAGGTAGCTTTTTCTTACCCAGGGCTTAATTTGCGTTGGATGAATGGTTTTTACAGAGACTGCATGAAAGGCTGATGGACAAGATGCCTGTCCGGGTTCCCTTTGTGACTCTCAGAAATTGTACTGAGGGGACCCTGCTGGGGCCCTTTATGACTACTCTCCCTTTGGCTGATTTCCAGACTGAATAGACACCTCCCCCGCACAAACCCAGCTCTGTGCCCAGAAAACAATGTCAGGTCAGGCCACTGGAAAATGGGGAGCAAATGCCTTTTAGATGTGATTCAAGACAAAATCAGGTATCTAGATTGGATCCCAAGGCCCTGCTCTGAGAAGTCTGGCTCCTAACCAGCCGGACAGATGACAGTCTGCTGGCATTTGAAATGAGGAGACTGGGCAAAGAGCATTGTTTAGAAGTTGGAAAGCATGGAGTTGATTTTAGATGTTAATTAAGCTCTGTGACCTCCTGTGAGTGCCTCTCTGAGTCTCTCCATTTCCTTATCTGTAAAACACAGGAATAATTTAGATTTAGAATGTTGGTCTTTATTGGTTTACTGAGATGGTATAGGATAGGAAGCATGAATGACCAGGGTTGGCTGGTGAGGCTAATATGCCTCAAGGACTAGGTATGTCTCCATCTAATTTAGGTCTTGCATGAAATTGGAGGAGTGAACAATGCTTACTTAGGTTCTGCTCTTTGTGGCACCCCCCCCCCCCCTGCCCTCCAAGACAAGAGAGCGGAGGCAGGTTCTTTGCAGGATGGAGCCTGGATCATCTATGAAGATAGAGATCCTACAGCATCACTTAGCCAATCCATTTTGGTATTTAGCAGCCCTCAAATCTGAATGACCATTAGGCACTAAGTCTGGGGATGCTCTTTAGCATCCCTGGCTGCCCCCCTCAGTCCCCTCCTCCTGGTCCACTATCCAGCCTATTTACCCTGCAGAACAGTTTGTTTCACATCCTTTCTTCACAGGCCAGAAAGAGGTTGGAGGAAGTTGGGAGGCTGGCCTCAACTCCCTCTCCCCATCCAATAAGCCCAGCTCCTGGTTGTAAGTGATCCCCCGGGGCCTGTCTGCTGCCGTGCTTGGAATCATCTGCTCCAGTGTGTTTGGCCGTGTAGATTTGAAGATAACCTGACATGCTCTTAAATATTTCATCTCTGAGCAGCCGTGCACCTTATCTTCCAGACGTCGAGGCTGCACCCCAGCTGCTGACCCTGTCGTCACTGCTCCGTGGCAGCTGCCAAGAGGTGGCTGGGGCAGACTGGGGCTTCCCTCTTCTGCCCGTCCATGCTCCATCCCCCATGTGCCTGGCAAAGACTCAACCACAAGGAGCCAGGGAGGTGGTGCAAGGAGCCCTGGCCAGGCCCTCTGCTTCTCTGAGCCTCAGTTTCTTACCTGGGGTAACAATCCCTGACCTTACGAGTGGCTCAGGACTGGAAGAGGTGATGTGTGTCAAGGGCTTTGAGAGTTACTGTGCACTGCTCTGCAAATGTGAGCTGTTATTATTTAGGAGCAAAACCTGTTTTCCTGTAACACTGATTCTCAGAACATCTGACCAGAGGAGGGAGACTCCTGGGGACTGGACTCTCAATCAGAAGTGGTTTAAGGGGTTAACAAGTGAGCCCATCCCTGTCTTCATGCAAGTGTGCCAGAAGGAAGGAGTGGAGACCTCTTCAGGAGAGCTGTCCCAGAGACATGTGAAGAAAGATCAAGGGGGAGAGGTATGATTTGGAATAAGGGCCTTAAATAAATTTTTCTAGGAATAACCTGAGAACCAAGATTCTTGGGGAACTGTGTGGTGTGGGGAAAGAACAGGGGTCACTGGCCATCCCTATGAACACCAAATTTATGGGGAAATCAAGATTAAGACTAATTCCACAGTCGAGGTGAGCAGGTAGGGCTTTGTTGGCACCCCGGCAGAGGACAACTCAGAAAGAAGGGACTGAGATTGTGCACTGCCTGCCCTATGGCCTGGTCTTGTTCACACGTACAGAGCACCCAGGAGCCTTCATTAGCTCCTAAGGTGTGGTCAAACACAGCAGAGTTAGTTGACATTGGCCTTCTGACATTTTAAGGCAGGAGCCTTTACTTCTCCCCTGTGGTGGAGGGACAGGGGAGGGGGTCACAGACACCATGGGGGCAGCTGGGGCCCTGTGATGATGCAGCGGGGGGTCCCCCACCTGCCCAGAATGCCCCTCCTGGAGCTGAGCCTGGTGGTGGCCAGAGAATCCTTGCCCCCTCACGTGGGTGGCTCTTACCCAGGACGGTGAGGCGTGCGGGGCGGGACCGGATGGCAGCCTGGATGGCCTGGCATTCGTACACAGCATCATCTTGCAGTTCTGCCCGCAGGATCTTCAGGTGGTGTTCCCCTGACAGGTGGTTCCCCACCACCAGGTACTGGGGGTAACCTGTGGAGACAGTGGGCAGATGAGGGAGATCAAAGCATCCCACCCAAGTAGACTTCTTAACCTGTTTCCTGATGGCTATTTGGAGGTGATACAGGCTCCAGAGAGAACGACTCTGAAAAGCTGTCCACTTACAAACAGAAAGGCACTTAGTGGGCAGCGGAAGCAGGTAGAAGCTCTTCCATCTGATCTCCACTATCTGCTGAGGAAAGATCTTTTCACAGGTAGAAGGGATTGTGGAGCTGACCCCTGGCCCAGAAAGAGATGGCCTTGTGGTGACTGGGACTGACAGGCTTTATCTGCAGGGTAAGACCACCTTTGCTCCCTGCATTTCCCTCCCTTCTCCCTTCCAGAACTTTCATCGCCCCCTCCCCCCAGCAGCTTCAAGAACCTGTTTCTTTCAGGAGCTCAAAATGTTATTTCAGCTTCAACTATCTGGCCTTTTCTTTGAGTCTCCTACTTTGAGGATGGCGCCCATGTTTTGGTACATTAATAAGCTTGTCTACTCCCCCTGTTAATCTGTCTATTGTCAGTTTATGTCACAGGCTAAAATTATTAGACCCTCAGGAAAAAGAGAAGACTTTTCTTTTAGCTCAGGGGAGTTGGGTGGGGGTGGAGGAATGTTGGTTATTGCTCAGGGGCCCCAATCTCCTGTAAGGAGCAAAAAAAAAAAAAAAAAAAAAAATCAGAGTTTCCCAGGGTATCGGGGCAGGGTGTGCATGTGCGTGTGTATGTGTGTGCGCATGCGTGCGTGCAAAGATATTGTGGGTTTTATGTTTAATTGGAGCAAAGCCACTATGAGGAAAGGATAGAGAAGAAATGGAAACGCTAAGTGCGGTCAGATACAGCTGGGTTATTGCTCTAGAAAGTGAAATGCTCAGCACTGTGGTCTACTAAGAAGACAAGTGTTTTGATAAGGAGACACGATGGGGCGGGGGTGCAAGAGAGAAAGAAGCAAGCCAGACTCACAGAGAAAAGACGGAGTGAGAGAGTGAAGGGAGGAAAAACAAAAGAGAGAGAAATATTTGGAAAAGGATCAAAGGTGAATTTTGGGGAAAACTTTTGTTCCAGGATGGACAGGAACAGAAATCTACTGGGACCTGGGAACCTCAGGGCACTTTGAACCCTAAGAGGCCTTTTTCCAGTCTTTCCTACTACCCACCTCCAGAGCCCAAGGGCCTGATTAAGCACTTGAGGCGCTCAGGACACTTAGGAATTTGGGGCCCCTTCTACCACTGGCAATGAATAATAGATAAATAAAAGTTTGAGGATGATAAATCATTGATCAGCTTTCCTGCTGCTGTGTAGGGCTGAATATAAATGCTAACTTAGTAATAGCTGGCCAGGCCGGGCCATTTCTCTCTCTCCTGGATCTCCTTAGTCTGTCCCAGCAGGATCCATCTTCCAGGCATCCCCTCACCCGAACTCTACCTTCCCCAGAAAACCTGTGTACCTTGGGCTTCACACAGACACCTGCACCCCCTCCTGGTTCTTCTCTGCCTCCACCCACCCTCCAACCGCCCACATGGCTGCTCTTTCTGAAACACCTTTCCCAGGATGAGGCATTCTCAGAACATCTCAGGATTGGACACATTTGGCCTTTTAAAGAAGAGACAAGGGCTAGAGAGACAGGGGGAGAGAGAAAGAGAATGGACACAGAGAGACATGCAAACACTTTTTCAAATATTCCCAAGTCCCGTGGTGTGGGTCAGATGTGTTCTTTAGCTCTTCAGGACAGCAGTGACACCCACAGACAGCACATCAAGATATCTGAGGAGACTAACAAGGATTCAGTCCAGGCTGCCAAGAAGGGCAGTGAGTCCCCTTCCCCGGCTATAGTCAAGCCACGGTTGGATGCTCACCTCTCCAGGATGCTGCTGGGGCGATGTCTACACTGGATGAAAGACTGGACTAGGTGAGCTCTAAGACCCATCCCCTTCCATAAGCTAAGGATAGTCCGGAGGTGGGGCAGGGCTCCCTGGGCCACCAATGCCCATTGCTGGTCAGTGGGGTGAGTATCTGTGACTCTCTACCAGGCCTGGGAGCATGCTCTGGGGGGCCCTTTATAGCCACCATCATGCTACTAAGGGGCTCTGCTCTCCACAGCTGTGCAGTCCTGGCCAGAGATGCTCAGGAGGCAATCAGCTGCACCCCCGAGGGCACCCTCTCTCCTCCTGCCCACTCACCTGCCCTTGACTGGCAAAGGAGCCCAGGTAAGGGCAGCTGGCTCAGCCCCTGGGGCCTGGGCAGGGGGCTTCGAGTGGGGCCGGGCTGGAAGCTGTCCAGTCAGATCCTCTCGCAGCTGTCTGCCCTCAGTGCAGCTGGCTCACTGCCCCCAGCCCCTGCAGCCCAGCCTCTGGATCCCGCTGTCCTGTGATTAGTCCCTGGTCCCCTGCCGGCGTCTTGGCTGGAGCTGGTGTTTTTGCTGTCTTGTAAGCTATCACCAGCAGGATTTCACTCTCATGAGCTGCTGAAAACATCAGTGATGGGTTTGTTTGTATTTGCCTAATTAGGCGGTGAGCTGCGATGCTATCCCAAGGACTGGCAGCATCTTAGGAAAACAGACTCAGAAGTGTAGATTCTGAGGATGTTCTAGCTCCTTCCACAGCATCGTTACTCTCTGTCTACTCCTAAAGGAGGCAGAATTATTTAGAGTCTGGGTTCTAAAGTCAAACTGCCTGGATTTCAATGCCGGCTTCACTGTTGTCTTGGGCAAGCTTCCTTCTTCCTTTTTTTTGGGGGGGGGGCGGGCATTGGGGATTGAACCCAGGGGTGCTTAACCACTGAGCCACATTCCCAGCCCTTTTTGTTTTTTATTTTGAGATGGTCTTGCTAAGTTGCTAGGGGCCTTGCTAAATTGCTGAGGCTGGCCTTGAACTTGTGATCCTCCTGTCTCAGCCTCCCGTGCTGCTGGGATTATAGGTCTGTGCCACTGTGCCGGGCTTGGGTGAGTTTCTTTAACTTATTTGTGATTTTGTTTCCTTATTTATCAGTGAAATGAAGACAATGCGAGGACATCACAGCGAAGATGAAGCAGAATAGTGTCAAGTGCCTGGCGTATTAAAGGTTAATTTAAATAAAAGACCACAGTGAGTTAGAGTGAAGCCTCCACCTTTGGGGCTAGCAGACAGGGTCCTGTGCATTGGAGCTGGTTATATAAATGACACGATTTCTCTCTCTACTGTGACTCTGTTTATCTATTAAATAAAGGGGAAAATCCTTTTGTCCCTGTGGACAACTGTAGATTTTGAGATTATATCTGAGAAGTACTTGAATTTCTTAGAAGAAAAATGTTCTATCCATATGAGGAAGTATATTTATAAGTCATTTTCTTTGACTGGTGTTTCCAGCCCTGATGACCAGAAAGACACTGAGGTCTTCGGTGAGGGTCTCATGCCTGGTACACGAAGTGGGGCAACATGGTTCAAGTGGAAGTGGGCAGACCCCCAGCAGGTAGAGCCCAACCCTGGGCCTCAGTTTCCCTCCAGGAAAACTTCCAAGGTGTTAAGTGTTCTTCAAGTGCTTGCTGAAAGGGAGTGGGTTCTGCCATGCTCCTTTCCTCATCAGGCAGGCTAGGAGTGTTTATTGAGATGGATAAGTATCGATCATTATTACCAGGTTGCAGTTCTGGGGACAAGTGATCAAATACAGAACAGGTACTTATCAGGAGCTTGATCTTGGGCTATGTAGGAAGAGGGTCCAGCTTCTTCCTATAACTGGAGACAAGTTGGAGAGGAAGCCGACCCCAGTTCCTCAGACCCATTGTCCTTCAGCACCAAGCAGGCCTGGAGCCTGACCCCAGAAAGCCATTTGTGGAACTGGATCATAGAGGGGCAATCATCATGCTGTGAGGACCATTCTATGACGCATCCCTGGTCACTGGGACCTTTTCTTGGCCACTGACCTAGCAAAACCCATGCCCCTGACCAAAGGCTGAAAAACCACTGACCAGCAGCCCAGACGGCCTCTGTGGGCCAAGCTCAGAGCCTCCCAGAACATGAGCAGTTCTTGTTTGGGAAGGTCGTATCATTCTCCCAGTTTCTCTAGGGTAAGGGAATTCAGAGTCTCTGAAATTGGCTGGTTCCCATACTACTTAAACTTTATGGCAGCACAGTATATTTTGGAGATATTATTGTGTATTTTATCCATGCTCAGCTGGGCTGCAGCATTCAAACCCTGTGACTGCTATTGACCATTGCTATAATGTTTCAATATACATTTTTGGCAAGACATAACTCACATTTTAAAATATTAATTTCCCAGCCATCAGGTTCCTGAGTGCACTTCGATTTTTATTTTCCTGCAGCTGTATACCATGAACAAGACAAAAAGCTACTTCTCAGTTGAATACGTATTTTTCACTCATCGCCCACCCTCAGCCATTCCCAAATCACAGGGGAATGACACCCAGATCTGTCTTTGTGAATTTTACTGTTTATGTCAAGCTCAGTAAGTAACCATGTGTCTATCCACCCTGGGACTGAATAACAATGGCTAACGAGGGAGTGAGCGGGGAGGATGACTCCATTCTTTCTCTGCTGGGGAGAGGTGGGTTGGAAAGGGGTTTGGATAGGTTTACAGGTAGCCACTCACAATAGTCAGCAAATGACACAGCATAGACACCAATCGGGGAGTTCATGGGCCAGCAGCTAGAGGAACCCTGGAGCTCAGCGTGGGGGCACCAGCCTGCAGGGCCGAACAAGGTTTGGCATTCATTGTAAAACCTTCCTGTCTAAGTTGGGTGTGGTGGTGCGTATTCTTAATCCCAGTGACTTAGGAGGCTGAGATAACAAATTTAACAAATTTAAGGCCAGCCTGGGCAACTTGACCCTGTCTCAAAATCAAACATAAAAAGGGCTGGAGGTGTGGCTCAGTGGTAGAGCACCCTGAGTTAAATGCCCAGTACCAAAACAACAACAAAAACCTTCCTGTTTTCTGTTCCCATCATAAGATGATCTCTAAGAGCAACTTAGGTTTCTTTATGACTTTTTAGTTCACTTGGCTTCCTTAATTGGGTGGGAAGCCAGGTTATGCTTTGAAAAATGGGGAATAGATCTTGGGCCAAGAAACTAGAGCCCTTAATTTCTGGAAATCAGACTTCATGTGCTTGACTTGGGAATAGATTCTCCAGGGCAACAGTGGGCTAGGCTCAGGAGGAGCCTGAGGATGGAGGGTGGTTCATCACTGGCAACCAGAGACCCTGGAACTCCTAGGGAGCCTAGACTCCGGCCTTGCCTAGCCTGGCTCTGCCCAGGAGCTACAGTGGCCGTGGGAGGTTTGACCTGCCATGCCTGTGATGGAAGATGAGCGTTCCCTAGGGGAGTGGACGGTGGGTGGGGCAGTGGCCCGGCTGGGCCTGCCTGGGGGTCTGAAGGTACTCACTTGAGAGGTCTCTGCCTACACCCAGAGCCAAGCCGTCTTTGATCCACAGAACGAAGCCATCGTATTCTGGGATGGCGCACAGCAGCGTCACTGGCTGTCCGGATACCACCACTTGGTCTTGGGGTTGCTGGCTGAAGGAGTAGACTTGGCCTAGGAAGGAGACAAGCACTGTGGTCAGGTATGGGCAGCATCTGGAGGGCTCCCCTACAGCACTGGAAGCAGAGCTGAGGCTGGCCCCGGAGACCAGGCCTCCGCAGGTGCCTCCCTTCCTACCCTTAGCTTTATCCCCTTCTTTCAGGGACTGGCTCCAAACTCAAGCCCCTCTGCTCATCAATGCCCATCCCTGGCATTGGGGGTCTGCCACACTCCAGCTCCCCAAGAGGCCACCCACTCTCACTTGCTTGGGGCTGGCCACTCCCCCTTTTCCTTGTTTGAATTCCTACCTGTCCCCACTGACTTGGCGAATCATGTGGTTTTAGTTCAACCCAAGGGTCCAATAAATCAGATTGTGGTTCTGATTCTCTTACTCTTGTTCGTGAACCAGAGGGGCAGGTGTCGGTGCGATGTGAGCAAAGGTGCACTGGAGGGAGCTGGTGACCAGGGCTCACCACCTTCTCTTGCCCCTTCCTGTGCTGCAGGGACCTGCCCAGCCTTCCTCCCGCTTAGGGAGAATCACCAGAAGAGCCGGCGTCTCCCATCCACACCTCAAAACAAGGTGGCCAAAGCCAACACAGCTCTCAGTTCATATTTTACTAAACAGACACACGGCCTCGCGTACAGGATGCAGGCTCTGTTCCGAGGTTTTCAGATATTAGCTCACTGATATTTTCATCCTTACAACGACCTAAAAACAGTAGGCACTATTTTTATGCCCATTTTCCAGATGAGGAAGCTAGAGAGGGAGGTGAGAAGTAACAGAGGCTGTGCTGCTGGATCACTCGTCAACACTGGTCCCTGCCCTGCCTGCCACAATCATCTGAGCACCACCCATCCCACTCTGCAGGAAGTGGGCAGAGGAGGGCTTTGGGGTTAACTGGAGTGCCTAGGGATCATCTAGTGGCAGGGTGAAGGTTGTGAATGCAAGTCTTCCGACCCTATAGACCTCGTTCTTTTCTACTGAGCTAGGCCGGTGCAGCTCTCTAAGCCTGGTCCTAGACTGAGAGGTTAAAGAAGGGAGTTTACATGGTCTGTGTTCCCTGGGCAGTTACAGTTGACCACAACATGAAACCGAGTCACTGAACATCGGGCACACAGTGTGATCTATGCTTTACACACCCCCTTCTCCTGTGGTTCATTTAACAGATTTCAGGGCAGAAATATCCCCAATTTATGACAAAGAAACTGGGATCAGAGAGGCATGGCAGTCTGCCCAAGGTCACACAGCTAATGAATGGTGGTTGGGCTAGGGTCCATCTGAGTTCTGAGCCCTCACTTTTCCTCTACCCGCTACCCTGCAGATACAAATGACCAAGAGGAACCGAAGCCAGTGCAGCCTCTCCTCTCCCACCTGGCACCACAGGGGTCTTGGACACTAGCTGCTGCTCTTGGAAGGGCATAGCCCCAGGCCCAGACCACACATAGGGCTCAGCTCTCAGCAGCAGGTGGCCTCAGGGAGGCTGGTGGTGGCAGCAGAGGGTGTGGTGGAGGCCCCTGCCCCAGAGCAGAGGTGCAGCTACACACCAGAGAGCGTGTGGCAGGCAGGCAGGTAGTGGGGTTCACAGCCTGATGAGATCCTGGCACGTCTCTGAGGAGTCTCATTAAAAATCAAATTGGCCTTGAATTGTGGGAGTAACACTTCTTATTCTGATTTGAGCTTTACAAATTAGATTTCATAGGACATTTTAATCAGCTGTGTGGTGGATTTCTCTCTCTGTCTCTTCAAGTTTTCTGTTGTAATTAGACTGTTTTTGGCACCAAAACAGAAAAGGAGGGAAGAGATGAGAGAGGAGAAAGGGGAAGAGGAGGGGGAGATTGGAGAAGGAGCTGAGGAGGGGAGTGAGGGGCAGGAGAGGGAGGAGGGAGGGAAGATGGAGGAGGAGGGAGGGGAAGAAGGGGGGAGAGGAGGAGCAGGAAGGAGGGGGAGGAGGGGGAGGAGGAGAGGGAAGAGGAGGAGCAGGAGGGAGGGGAGGAGGGGCAGGCGAGGGGGGAGAACACCTTCCCCCAGGCCCTTTTCTCCCTGCTGTAATGGTGATTTCACAGCTCATTCTTTTATCTCAAAATCTTTCCTGGAAGAAGGACAATGTCAAGGCAGCCGAGGTAGCCGCCAAACATTGTGCTATCAGAGAGAATTATCAGGTTGTCAGCCTGGAGCTGAAGGGGCTGTAATGAGAAGTCCCTAAATGAAGTGGTGCCTGAGTCCTCCCAAATGTCCCTTATTAGATACGGATAATTGTCCCATTCGCCCTCCGCCCCTCCAGCCTGCTTCTGTTTGGAGGGAGCAGGAGGTGTTGGGTGAGGACATCTGGGGAGCTGGGGGTGCAGGAGGCATCCCCAGGTCAGGGGTAAGTCCTGGACTGTCACCATGGAGACCGGGCTCTGGAGCACAGCACAGGGCTGTCTTCAATGCCTTCTACTCAATGGACGTGGTGGGGGTAGGGGCGGGTGGTGGACTCTGCATGGTCAAAGTCCCCTGGATGGTGTCTCAGGACTAGGATTTGGGGGCAGGCACAAGATGCTTCTGAAGAACTCCCCGAGGGTTGCGCAGAGTAGAGAGGGTCCTGAATGGCTCACCAGAGGGTCTGAGAGAGCTCTAGGGCACCAAGCCCCAAAGTCCCCTGAAGGCTTCAGTGTTCACACTTTGTCTCTTTGGACCTGTTGGAATTTTCTATGGAAAGAATGTTCCTGGGGGAGCTGGAGACACAGGATCATCTCAGAAACCACCGAGGGGACACGTAAAGTTATTTATTATCTTAGGGGGGTTAGTGATGAGTACTCTAATTGATAGTCTTCCTTTTCAGTCCAATTTTAATTTTTGTGCAGTAGGTTAAGCCACTAAAAATACCTTTGTTTTCTCTGGAACCCAAGATGCTTTTTCAGATTTTGGGGGGTTGCTTTTACAGTATTGCGACCAAACCAGGGCCGTGCCCAGGCTAGGCAAGCACCCTGCCATGAGCCACACCCACAGCCCCTCATGAATCTTATATTGCTATTGATTATGTGGAGTAGATGAGAGTTGGGGTGCTGTGGAGGAGAGGAGTGGAGGGATGGGCCCACTCTCTTCACCTGTGCGACAGATCTTGAGGTCTTCCTTGCCGAGGGCTCCTGGGAGCATAGTCTCAAGCCGTGGATGTGGGTCATTGCCCAAAGAATGCTCTTTCCCTGTCCCTTGCTCCCTGCTTTCTTTTTCCCATAGGATCTTCTACTCCAATGCAGTGAAATGTGATGGGCCTGGAATCATTTTCTCTAACCTCCTGGAGATGATCTTGAGTGGACGGCCACTCCTCCAGCACATGCGTATTTTGCGCACCTTGACTGACACCCGCTGCGAGGCAGGAGCCCTGTCCGCTTGTGAGAAATAGGTGATGGGCCTGGAGCCTTGTCATGGGACCTGGGCCATCCGAGTGAGTGAGCGCGGAGCAGGCGCTGAGCCACGGAGCTCCTGCCCTCGGTGTAGCCTCAACACGCCCAGCACCTCCACCCCAGGTTGCCCCCTCAGGGTCCCATTCTGCCCGATGACAATGATGAGAAGCCTGGCAGTCAGTGCCACCTCCATTGTCCTGCCTCTCTCTTTTTAATTCCGTGATCTGGGGAAGGGACCGGGGCCTTGCGTGCTAGTCAGTTCTCTGCCCCTGAGCTGCATCACCAGCCTTCCGTCACCATTTTCCATCTGTCACCATTTCAGAGTCTGGCCCAGATGTCCTCCGCAGTTCTCTCGGGCTCATCCTTTCGTCTCCATTTCCTCTGCTACAACCCAAGGCCCGTGCCCTCATTGCCACCACCTGGATTCTTTCGACACACTCAGAGGCTTCCTCACCCCCGCCCCCTATTGCACGTGTCACCCTGGATCTTCCTTCTTAAGTCAACTCTCTCTTTCTGCCACCTCTCATGGCTGTGCACTGTCTGTGGGACAACATGTCACCTCCTGTCCTGGGTCACATGATTCTCCACAGACTGACTCCCCTTCCCTCTGTGTGGTCCACGGCACCCTGTGCTGTTGCTCACTTATGCGACCTGCTCATGTCCTTTCTGTTCCATCATCCTGGGATGTACCTCCTCCTCACCTGACCCTTCCTAAGAAGCCCTGCCCATCATCCAAGGCCCTGTTCTGTTCCCAGGAAACTGCTGTTACCCAGAGGGATCGCTGTCTCTTTTCTCCCTTCCTTCCCACTTCCCCCTTTCCCCTCCCCTTCATCTCCTTCAATTTCTCCAGACATTTGTTGAGCACCTAATATATGATGCTGAAGAAACAAAATGAAGGAACAGTGTTTTTCACTTGAGGGCAGAGGTCACAGCTATCTTTTCCACCTTTGTCCCCAAAGCCTGGCTCCACGTGAGAACATGGCATGCCTATTTGTTGAACATGCCTGTGTGCTTGTGGCTTACCGACCCTAGTTTGTCACGGAGATCGGTCATCACTGTAGGAAAATTGGTTTTGCATTATCAACTACTGACCAAGCAGATATTGTGCTGGGCACACCACACAGAATGAGAAAAGTGAAAGATAAAGGGGAAGGGCCAGAGTCTCGAGGAGTCAGGGCTTACAACAAAACAAAAACAAAAACAAAAAACCACTGAGTTATTTATGTGTGACCCACTGGTGGCCAGGTCCAGGGTTTGCATGCACACACTGCTCCTGCAAGTGTGGTGGCCATTGTCACCCACATTTTACAGATGAACTGAGCTCTGGAGTTTGGACCTTAAGTGTCTCCCAAAAGCCTAGGTGTTAAAGGCCCAGGTGTTGGGTGGTAGTGGGAATTTTAAGAGGTAGGACTGGGATAAGGTCTTTAGGTCATTGATGGTGCATCCTTGAAAGGAATGTGGGACCCTGATCTCTTCCTATGTCTTGGTTTCACAGCTAGGGGGAGAGCGGCTTGGCTCTACCATATGCTCTCTGCCATTGCCATCCAGCGCCCCTCCAGCAGCCTAAAAGTACTGGATCTGCTGGATCATGCCCTGGAACCTCCCCAAATTGTGTGCCAAAATAAATTTAA